AAGTAATCCTCCGGTATTCATGTGAGTCACATGGAATAGAGAGGATGCCCTGAGTATCCTTTCCAACCTGCAAGCCTTCTGGATCATCTGTTTCAGCTTGCATGCCTGCCAAGGGTTTAACAAAACAAAGGTTAAGGCCAGCATTGGGATTAGGATTTATGAAAGAATACTCCGATAATTTTCCAAGGCTATTCTGGTGCCAATCAAATTCCTTATCTAATGATTCTTGTGTGTGTAACTCTGTCTCGGGCTCTGCACCATCAAGCCGCTGATCTCTGTCTTTTTCTAGCATTTCCTCATTGACAGGTGTATCAAACAGCTTTCGTACATCTTCCCATACATCTCCTGCATGGTCCCTTTCTCCCTTCACAGTATCTGCCTCTGCTTCTTCAAAAGCCTCCTCAAAATATCAGCCTGGATCCTCGAACACTGGAAAGTCAAATGAGGAAATGGACGAAATAGCGTCCACAGCCCGTCCCATATCTCCTTCTTCCAATCTACCATATACCGCTCCATGATTAGCCAAGCTCAAACTTCTTTCTTCCTCTTTGGATGCTCCAGGTTGACCTCTGGATCCAATTCAAGACCTGGGGTCTTTTTCACCTCTTCTACTACACTTTCTGCACAGTTGCTTAGCCCAGTTTTGGGTGAGACTATGATAGATCTTAGGCTCTCCCCTTCTACCACATTCGATTCACACCCCTTATTTTTCTGGCTTGCTTTGTGCCCCTGCATACTACCACCACGTTCTAGATCTTCAAGAATTGTGGACGACAGAGTAGCGATGGGTCTGTAACCTCCTAATGATAGGTGCTCCAGTTTGACTTTTTAGGCTGCCGAAGAAGCCTAGTTTTAATTCTTATGGATCGGTTGAGGTGGAGGCCAGTACTATCATATCGAGATTTTTGATTTATTACGGGGATGAACTCGTGTTGGTGGACAGATCATGTAAGAAGAGTAGATTCAAAAGACCCATGTAAAAGAGGAATTCTGTTTGACTCTTTACAAGGTCCGTTACAGCTCGTGTAAAAAGAGCAAATTTAAAAGACCTACGTAAAAGAGGAATTCTGTTTGACTCTTTACAAGATCCGATACAGCTCATGTAAAAAGAGCAGATTTAAAAGACCTACGTAAAAGAGGAATTCTGTTTGACTCTTTACAAGATCTGTTATGCTTGAGATTCTCTTTGAGATTCACCTTTTCAAACAATCTGATTTGCCTTTCTTTCTCGGGGTCAACCTCAATAACAACTGTGTATTTAGATAATAAATGCAGATTTTCCTTGATTTAAGCATCCTGAAATGCTGCCTCTTGATTCACTCCTTCCTTATTTTAAGGTACGACTATAGCCATTTTGAAATTTGAATATTGCTTCGATTTTCCTTTGCTCCTCCCTCTCTGCCACCTATCTCTTTCCCCAGGCGCTCCTCGGTATTTGCAATGCGCTGTCTTTGTGCCCTGTTCTGCTGTTTCCAACCGCCAGCCACGATATCCCAGTTGTGGCCACAATCTCACAGAATCTCATTAATACATTTTGAAGATATTTCCAGTCAATTTGTTGCTTCCCTTCCGCTAAACATTTCTCTTCCTCTTTCCTCCCTCATGCTGAGATACAGACAGGAAGCTCCCATTGTTATTGGAAGATAATTCAGCTAAACAATATCCAGGTCTTCTCCATATGGGGACAGATTTCCCTCTGGCATCTAACACGGACTTAATAACCTGAGTTAACCACTTTACACCTTCAATGTCCAAAGAAAGATTAGAGGATTTTGTTTTGAAGAACTCTTAAATGTTCATATATCCGCCTTTTCCATCAATGCTGAAAATTTTCCTTTCTACTCGGAATATGACGTTCAAACCCGTACTCTTCACCATAACTGAAACTGCTTAACTAAAAACAACTAAAAAGAAATACTCATATCTAAAATCCTTTAATCATACACCCCAACCTTTCAGTTTCTTGAAATTCATTTTACAAAGCTCAAATGAGTTATCAATTGAGCTTCTTCTTAGGCATCTTAGGCTTTTCCCGCAAAGACCTCCTTGCTCCAAACCTTTAGCTTCTTTTTAAATTTGTGTTTATTTTACTGTCATGCACAAGTTATATTGTTCCCCTTTATTTTTGAGAAGAGGAGGATGGTTAACTCTCCATATTTGTATTTTTTCATTCATTTTTAATTTTGTGGTTAATATTTTCAATTCTCTGTTATTAGCTGCAATTCTTTCATTCTGTTCTTCTGCTATTTTTCTCCTATTTTATATAAGAAAATTAGGATTGTATGGGGAATGGGAATTTTCTAAAACAAAAAATGGAATAAAATCCCTAAGCAGCATCATCAGTTTGATGTTCTCTTCTTCTCACTCAGTCTGTTTTTCTTCTTTATCTTTTCTACAATCCTGTTCTTCCTTCTTCTTTAGGAAATTCTTATTGAATGGCTAAGAATCCTGACTAATTGGCATTAACGTTATAAGTTTCTCGGACATTCTTTCTGCTTCTCATTCTTCATCTAACCTCCACATTTTTTACTGTTTATCCTTTCTCTCTCATCTTATAAAGCTATTTTCTCCAGCAACCCAACCAACAAACAGTAAGATAAGAAAATTCCCTATAATCTTCTAGATCTCTTTTTCTAGCAAGACAGCTAACAAGCGCAACAAAAAAAAATGCACCTCAACAGTTACTGGTGAAGTAATTAGTACTATATTGTTTCCTACTTGGGATTATAGAGAAGAATTTTGTGGCTTTGGGAAGCTGGAAGATAATGCACGTCAAGTGTTTGTAAAAAAAAAGGTTGTTTAAATACTGATTAGAAAGTAAAGATTATGACATTGTATCCTCAGAAAATTGAGTATTAAATATTACACCAAGAACCGTGGCAGCATACTTGAGTTCACCTTCTCTTGAAGAATACTATGGAATGAAAGCTAATGGAAACCATGAGAATTCGGGACAATGGCCTTTTGAAGAAAGAATTTATTGATCCTTTTCTTGAAATTGGAAATGAGGAGAGCTATAGAGGGAAGAGAAAATCGTTGAAATTGCTGATAGATAGAATAGGAGCCAAACTTACTAAAACTCCATCGCGAAAGGATTAACACACAATATATGTGAAAAGTCAATAGAGAAAAGAATGGTTTTGGAGTCGTGGAAGTGACAACTCTAGTGACAAAGCACGATCACCCTCTTTGGAATCAATGGAAATATTTTCACACAGGTAATAGACCCTTTCTAGTCGATTGCTGGGTGTATACCAAATGTCACCTCTATCGAACTAATCTAGCTATACTTATTGAAAAATTTGTCATACAAACCACATTCAACTTCAAGTTTCTCCTATGGGAGCTGATTACTAGCATTATAATAGGCAACTCCTCTTTATGGGATCATGCCTGTCTGATGGCAGCATGGATTATGGTGACAATTAAGTAACTTAGGAGTATGTTTCCTTTCTCAAGCCTGACTTTCCAGAGTTCTCCCTTCAGACAAGGAAGATCTGAAAGATAAGGGAAATTTCAGGTCTGGAGGCAATATGTGGCAGCTGAGCTCTACAGAAGAGCTACATGGCCTGTTGGTTTCGAATTTTTATTTTTGTGGTTTATATTTTTATTTTTCTGTTATTAGCTGTACTTCCTTGTTATACTTTGTCCTATTTTCTTGGACAGCATGATATATATAGCAGAATTATGACTGTAAGGGGAATGGGAAACTTTACAACAAAAGACGGAATGAGATCGCTAAGCAGAATCATCAATTTGAAGCTCTCTTATCTTTTCTTCCTCATCTTTTCTGCAACTCTGTTTTTTCTTCTTCTTCAGAAAATTCTTATTGAATGTCTAAGGATCGTGACATTTTTTCATCTTTA